AAAAAAGCAAATGGGACTAAAATTCTTCCTATTCGATATGGTTCAGAATCTGCCTTAGGCAATATTAGGGACTCTATAGTTTGTCCTGGGCATGTTATCTACTTGGCTGTTGGATACATCTTAACCTTTTAGGTATTAAGATACCTAATACCTTAAAAAATCTAGCATCTCCTCTCCCTTGCCCTAATTAAATCCTGTTATCTAGAAAAACCAAGTAACAGTCATATATACTACATTTAAAGTGTTTAGAACAGCACCTACTCATAGTAAATGCCATACTTGTTGGTTATTCTTGCTACTTTTATTGTCACTTACATTTACATTTTTTTTTTTTTAACGTTTATTTATTTTTTTGGGACAGAGAGAGACAGAGCATGAACGGGGGAGGGGCAGAGAGAGAGGGAGACACAGAATCGGAAACAGGCTCCAGGCTCTGAGCCATCAGCCCATAGCCCGACGCGGGGCTCGAACTCACGGACCGCGAGATCGTGACCTGGCTGAAGTCGGACGCTTAACCGACTGCGCCACCCAGGCGCCCCCTACATTTACATTTTAATTCTCCCTAATTGGGATTAAAAGGCTTTGTCCCTATTAATGGAATCTGAAATATCAGTGAGCAGATGTAGAGAAATATTTTGGGAAATTCCTGAAATAAGAGTTGGTAGGCAAACACCTACTCATCCAGTTTAATATGCCTTTTCCACTATGTAATGGCTGTGTGCCCAGGAAGCAATTATTAAACTTTATCTGAACACCAAAGGAAGATACACCTACATGATCAGCTGTGAAGAATTTTACATGGCTCATACGCATTCAAACATCTACTGGTTGGACCTTAATGTACATGGTAATTAAATCAAGATTAGAGGATCCATGAGGGAGGGTAATGAATAGATATGCTTTAAGCAATAGAAACATACCATAATGGAAGCCAACTAAATGGGGATAATTCCACTCAACGGACCTGATCCTCATGTCACCTACTCCTTTTTACCAGTTCTGTTGTTGATTTGAAGGCTTCTTCCTCTATAATTATTTACTTCCCTGCACAAAAATGGAAACCTAAATACCAACATGATTTTCTTAGTGAAAAGACAAAGGAAACTGCATAACTGTTAGGAGTTAAGGGAGATGAAGAAATGAGAGTTGACGGCATAAAGCCCTAAAAATACAGACTGTTTCTTTGGTAATCTTAAGTGTTTCCAACTCTTTAAGAATAAAAGAACAAGGTCGATGAGGCATATGTCGTACAGAGTCAGAAAACTTGCTAGGAAACCAAATCATCTTTTTCCACCTCCCCACCTTCCCAGGAACACGTCATCATCACCTGCTCTCTTGCCTTTACCCAGACCACACCCTGTCTCTTGAAACAAACTGCTTGAACTCAGCTCCACCCCTGCTTCCATTTGGCAAGAGGGGGAAAAAAGGAGGGGGGGAAGCCTTCAGATGAACAACTATCCAATACAAATCAGTTTGGATGCCATCCATCACTAATCTTACTTCTGGAGAATTTTTACTGGATGGAATGTCAGTCTTAGGATATGGTTTCCCTTTCAGTCCTTCTTTCTCAAACAGGGAACATTCAAAGTCCCCACCACAATAAAGAAATTGAGTTTGCTTTATACTTTTTTCCATTTCCCAATTCATTGCTCTTCCTCCTGCATGAGCTTGCTAAAGCTCACAGTCAAAATTCACATCTAAAATAAAGATGCCTCCAAGAGAAGCTCATGTAATCCCACTCCTTAAATATCACTAAGACATCTGAGATATTGTTTAGATTGTGGACTCTTACTTTGACATGCCAGCATAGGTAGATGGACAGGCAAGCACATCAGATGTCACTGTTTGGCAGCTGATAAAAGTCAGTGGTGCTATAATACTAAGCACAGAGCCACTAGATTAGTCTGTGAGGGAAGGGGATGCCTCTTCCTTCCCTTCAATAGTGGGTTAAACCCAGCTGGCACCCTCTGGAACGACGGGTAAGTCCCACCTTTATTTCTGCTACAGTTTTGGGTTTTGGTTTTGGTTTTTTGTCCAAATCAGAGGAATGTGTACAAAAATGATCTTCACATAAAAAGTGTGCAAGTAACATTATAATGTTATTATACAAATATTTAATAAGGAAGTAACCTATTCATTCCACTGAAACTGGAAGGTATTATAGAAAGGGTACAAGGCAGGATAGTTGTGTGTTAATATTTTTAGATCATCATTTTTCCTTGAAAAGGGATACTTGGCGTGATTATAACTGTGGTGATGTTCTAGAGCTTTAAAATATCCTCAATCAGTTGTTTGTGCAAGTCTGTCTGTACTATATCAGAGAGAGAGAAAAAAAAGTTAGGATTTTTTAAATAGGAGCTGCATAGTATTTTACTTATAAAATCTTTCAAATTTATTTAACACTACTTGGAATAAAATGAAACTGCCAAGTAAGAGAACCTCTTATAAAATTAAACTGTTGAACAGTAACTACAAACATAAAGAAAAACTTTTCAGAGTTATCTATTTGAACATCCCTATAAAATTTTGTTGAGACATGAGTAAAATGGAACTTTTGAAAGAATATATTCTTAACTGAGCTTTGAAAAATAACAGTAATTGTTAACTATGAAGACTGATACCAAAATGTACAAGATTGGTGACATTTTAAAAATATATGTAAGGAAAAACAGGGAACTTTCTGGAAAATATCTACTGGCTATTTGTTACACAGTTTATCCCTTGCCATTTGAAATGAATCTGAATAATTTGCCTTCCTAAAAAGGAATTTAAGAACTAAATTTGGATTCAATTCTGCAATGGAATGAATAAGCCCATAACTACAAAATTACTTGCCTTCAAATAGAGTCCTTGAGAAGATCTAATTAAAGCTTTCTTTTAGATGTTTTCCTCCAACAGTGTAAAGGCCTAATACAGTTAATTACTAAAATGCACTCTGGTTGAACATGTTTGTGCTCATAAACTTGAAATTAAGGAATATATGGCTTTTTAAGTGTTCTTTCTCAACAGAATCGTTCTCTTGGCTGTTGAGTTGCATTTGTTCTTTCCTAAAACTTTTAGGTTGGTTTGTTTGTTTGAGGTTTTTTTTAATTTTTTTACTCTGACAGCATGCACGCACACATGCACGTGCATGCAGACAAGCAGGACAGGGGTAGAGAGGAGAGAGAGAGAATCCCAAGCAGGCAGGCCCCGCACTATGAGTGCAGAGCCCGAAGTGGGGTTCAAATCCATAAACCATGAGATAATGACCTGACCTGAAATCAAGAGTTGGACACAACCAACTGAGCCACCCAGGCACCCCTAAAACTGCTAGTTTTAATTTAATTCTAAACTGTATGTACAGACTTGGGATGAAGTTATTTGGTCTGAAATTTTTCATTAAAAATGATACATTCTTCAAGCTAGGAAATTAAACAATTTTAAGATTTCATTTCAATGATGACAGCTTGGTATCAGTTATAGTTTGATTTATCATTATCTTAGAGTTGCCTTATACTATGTAAAATTAAATGTATTTTGAACTAGTCTGTGTGTAATGTCTGTATATAATTCTGCTTATTAGATTTGCCATACTAATGGAAGAAATCAGAGGCAAATATGACCCTTCATGGTTGATTTTAGGGGCAAATGATTCATCTAAGGAAAAATGGGGTCCATTACAGGAAGTTAGAAGAATCAATGCAGAGCTAAGTAAGAGAAATGGCATCCCTCTTTTTTGATGAGGTATACACTAGTTTCATATTGCCTTACTTCCTTCTGTACATTAGCATCTTCCATTTCAAAAGAAAAAGAGAGAAGCTAAAATAATTTCAAAATTAGTCTAAAATACATATGAAATAGGTAAAAATAATAAAAAGTAAAAATCTAAATAATTAAGAGTATCAACACCAATAACTAGATTGTATAATCTAAAAATAATAAAAAAATTTATATATGGCTCTGGAATAGTCAGTAAGATATATACACACAGAAAGACACACATACTCCTTAATTATCTTCTAGTTTGGTACTATGGTCATTTTAGAATCAAAGGGAGAAAAAGAGGCAGCACCCTGAGAGCGAGCCACAAAAAATACACTCAAAGTTGACAACAGGGAATTATACATGTTCCCTCTACTTTATGAAATTGCCAAAGAGTGAAGGAGTAAATATGGACATTCACTGTTCCTTATAAAAAAAAGCATATTGTTCCCCTTGATCTAATGAGACATCATTCATCACAGATCACCAGGACATTCATTAAGTGGTGTATCAGAAGAGCTGCTCATTGGTTTTCATGAGCAATGGGGAAGAATTCAGACTGAAAAGGAGCAGACAAGTTAGGTATTTAACTGCTAATAATTTAAATAATTAAATTATTATTAATATAATTAATATTATTAATATAATTAATCTCTGTGGTTAATGAACTATACCCCCAAGGCAAAGGCTAATCGTAAGGCCATAAAATTATCACATTGAGCAGCATCAGAGAATTTCTTTTCATAGTCACTTGGCAAACTCAAACTTTGTGTTCCTGTATCTTGAAGCCCCTGGGCATGCTTCAAGAATCACCCAGAGGCAAACCAACATTAATGAATACTTTTTTTGTTGCTGTTGTTCTCAGGAGAAAAGTCATTTGTACAAAGACAGAGATAAAGAAAAGAAGTCTAGAAGCCAGGAAAGGTCCACCTTGAGGTGACCTTGAAAGCATTTAAGCCTCCCCCCAAAACAGCATATATGCTCCTAAAGATGTTAAACAGTACTGTTTTTTATGCAAATACTTTAATTGAATCATTTTCTCCTTTTGAAGGAACAATATTCTTCAAGAGGCCACCCCATCAAAGACAGGAGCACAGTATTCCCAGGATCACAACAAGGAGGGGCAGACCACGGTTGCTTCAGATTCCTTGAGATCTTCTGTGATTCCAGGCTTGCCACCCCAAATTCAGGACCCCACCCTTCGAGGAACAAATCATTATAGTAATAAATTGCCTTCATCTTCCATATACCAGCTAAGCATGTTTAACTACGAACGTCCAAAACACTTCATTCAAACCCAAAACCCATGTGGCTCCAGACTGCAACCTCCTGGACCGGAAACCTCCAGCTACTCTAGTCAGACCAAACAGTCTTCCATTATCATCCAGCCCCGCCAATGCACAGAGCAAAGATTTTCTGCCTCTTCAACAGTGAGCTCTCACATCACCATGTCTTCCTCTGCTTTCCCTGCTTCTCCCCAGCAGCATGCTGCCTCCAACCCAGGCCAAAGGGTTACAGCCACCTATAACCAGTCCCCAGCCAGCTTCCTCAGCTCCATATTACCATCACAGTCTGATTATAGTAGCAGTAAAATTCCTTCCAATGTGGACACCAAGTAAGTATATATTTTTTATATATGAATAGATACTGCATATACACTGAGTTTGTATCTAAGGAGTGTGGGGGAGTATGCCCTAGTTCACTATTTAGTATTTTGAAAGGCAATGAAACCTCAAGGTCTCTTTCATAATTCTCCTAAAACACCTTGAACCAGGGGGCTGGCAGTAAGAGGTCATCTGACCCATTCTCTAGTGTCCAGACTATCCTAAACCCAAATCACCTATTACCCCATACATTACTTACTTATAATTTTCTATCTTCAAAAAAAGATTTCTAATATACTCAAGAACAGTGAACTATTCTCCCAGTTCTAAGTTAAGATCATCATGCTATAAATTTAATTGCTCGCGTTCTGGGCTCAGCTGAGATGAAGAACACCTGTCTGCTCTTCCTCAGATAGGATTTCCTCTCACATAAGCAGAGACTATTAAATTTCTTCTCAGTCTTAGTCTTTTCTTCCTATCCATTTTCCCTTCTGATGCTGAGCATCCACTTGGCAAAAAAAAAAAAAAAAAAAAT